GGTTCGAAACTTCCCTTTCTAATTTTTTGACAGATTAGGGTTTCAAGGTTGCCTTTTATTCCGTGTGAACTCCGCTTGCGCTTTGCTACATTCTAGTTGTCAAGGTATCTTCCAGTACACTCTAAGCAAGTACCCGTGATTTTCCCTAGACACTCCGTATACATGTAGAGTGTACAGCACGTCCAAATCAAAAGCTAAACAAAGCCAGGCGCTCGCGCCAGACAGCGTTGCACACTATGTATGAAGGGGAGTATATCTTTCTATACTTTGGGTTGTGAGTACATACTATGGGTTGTGAGTACTAGATAAAATATATATTCAAAGGGTTAAAAGGTGCGAACAAACAGGACGACGGGTTAGTGTCGCTATTTATTGTCTATAGTGCACGAACTCACGAGTGTGTTCGTGGGTACTGTTTTTATTTACTCTGCCGAGGCCCCGAAGAAGTCTGCAATACGATAAAATAAGTTAATAATCTTTGCACTCAGAGTATTCAGCCCAAATTCACTATCGTTCCACTCACTACTACAGTATGCGACAGCCAGCACTGTGACGTTTCAACTGCGGAACTTTGAAACTTGATATCATCTAGCATGAGTGTGATAACCAGTGGTTGGCTGCGTAATTGTATTAATGAATTCAACGATGCGCATTTATTCCCCGTTCGTTTGTTTCGCAATTTTGCCACGAGGCTGCGCAAGGTTTCGCTGCACATTTTGTCAGACGCGAGCTTTCCTTTTCTGGAAGTCAAGTCTTTGCCGTTTGGTAGCGTTGCCTCCTCTCGAGTATTGCTAGATGGCACCAGCAGCCGCCCAATTAAAATAGTTCGGCCGTATCCATCCACTGCGAAAGGGTATCGTTCAATCGACAGCTTTTCCGCGGAACATGTGTGCGCCAAGTTCTCGTATCACGAATACAGGCTGGTTAAGGCTCTTCATAGAAAAAAATGCCATGAACGCTTCGTGCTTTCACACTCACACTTCGCTGCATCACATCTGGAGAGTTTTGTTTGCTTATTCGTGTCTGCAGACTTCCTGACTAGCCCTGCTATATATACAAAATCCTGGTAGGTCTTCATTCCTGCAAGGCACTTGGGAGTGCCCATCGCCGCAATGACGAGACTGAAAATATGTTTAGAATCCCCAAAAACAGCCTTTGCTGTGACACTGAGCGTGAAGTTTCACGTGCTTACGTCACGCTGTGTCACATGTCACAGCAGGGCAAACTTTTTTTTCAGGACTGAACATAAGTATTTCTAGCTTCGTCGTTCGCCGAGCTCCCTCCGTAAATGGCGGCGACTGGCATACCCAAGGGCCCTGCGGGAAGGTATAGGCGCACTAGAGTTATACATTGTGGTAGAGTGGGTATACAAACGCCCCGCGAAAGGCTTAAGTTTTGCAAGTTTCTCACTTGAACTGAGAGCTATTCGGTGGAGCAGTTAACTCTGGGCGCGGATCTGCATTCCGGTACATTCTTCGCTTCGAAAGTAGCCTTCGAACTGCGCGAGACAGACGTGACTCACCGCTGGAAAAAACATTTGCGTTAACGCGTTTCCGTGCGAAAGCTGCAAAACAATATTAGCGCCCAGATGTATTGGTGGCGCCCTCTTGTGGTTTTCGTTGGTGACGTCACGACCAGGTTTTGCCCAACGTTAATAGATTAGCTCATTTGCGGAACTGCTCCTAGACGCTTCTTGCACGAGTAGTACAACCCTCTCCCCCCGCGGCGCCTCGCCTCCCGTCTTTCGACCGACACCTCCTAGACAAGGACCCACGCCCTTGCTCGCGCAAACGAGACTCTGAGCAACCCTGAATCCTGGCCCCCGGACTACAACCCGAAAGTGGAACGTGCCGCCCATCGCAAGGCTCAACGCCAGCGCCTGAAAGACCTCCGCCTTTCCCGCCGCACCCTTCCCCCTCCCACCCCTAACCTCACACGGCGCGAGTGTACATACATACGTTCGTCAGGCACAGACATTCTCCCTGCCGTGCGACCTCATAACCCACCACATTATGAACCGCCCCGGAACCCCCCATTGTCAGGTCTGTGGTGCCTATCCCGACGTGAGACACACCTACTGGTCTTGTCCACGCGCCCAACAATCTCCCCCCTTTCTCCTTCCACATCTCCTCCCTCCCAACATGCCCTTTACCTGGGAGAGCTGGGCCACTCCCCCCTCGGACCTCCGCCCTGCCCTCTGGCCTCGCCTAGCGCAGCACATCTTCCATGTGCGAGACCCATTGACTTCAACAACCCTCCCCCAAGCTCCGACCTGACCCGCCAAGCCTTTCCGGAAGGCCATACCCTCTAGCAACCACTGCCCGGACATGGGCGGCTTTAATAAAGTGTTTCTCTCTCTCTCTCTCCTAGACAAGAAATACCAAGTGCTGAACTTGCCTGCGTTACTCAAAGAGGCGGCCGTAGGGCGCAGATAAGACACTACTGCGGCGTCTGCGTTCGGCCGGAACTCGTGTCTAATCAGAGAGAAACCGAGTCCGAGCCGAACGATGACGCCACAGCCGTGTCCCATTCGTGCCCTACGGTCGCTCCTTTGAGTGAGGCAGGCAAATTGAGAACTTGGGCTTTCTTGTCTAGGAGGTGTCGGTTCGACGCGCCACCTCTTTGGGGGACCGCTGATGTGGGAACTGCAGTGCATCCTATGAAATATACGTATGTTTCGATGCGCAGCATCTAGATGGCGTTTCACCATCCTGTATGATGGAGCACACAGTTTCGAACCAAAAATCCATACTCGTTTTCACCTTAAGAAAAAAGGACGCTATGCGCATTGTTCATACGCCGGGCGAAGTAGTTCTGACAAGATTTGGTTGTCGGAGGAAGAAGCGATCCTTTTGGCGTTTGAAACGGATACGTCTTGATTAGATAACATATATCTAATCTAAAATGCACCTACATATATATTAATTCTCCTCATAAAATGGGAAAATTAGTAATCGCGAGGAGCCGGACTTTTTTTTACTTCGGTTCTTGAGGTGAAAACGGGTATAGATGGCTTTACAATCGACGGGAGGCTGAGACTGAAGGAAGTGAGGAGGCTACCCCCCCCCCCCCCCCCCCCCCCCCCGGAGGGAGTTCCACAACTGAGGTAATCTAATAACGCTGGTTTTGAATCGCCGTGTCGTCACTACTTGTATGCCTGGTTACTTATCATCAGTTGCGAAGTACAAGTTCGATGGTGTGTGTAAAAAACGCGATGGAAGCTTGGAGTCATCGCATTCTTAAACCAACACCGTCAAAGTTGACAGTCCGTCGTGTTTCCTATTGCCGTCGATGAAAGTGAAATTAATCCAAATAAAGACGCCATAGTGAGCGTTTGGCCGACCGCAAATGCCGCCCACGGCGACGCTTCTGGTCGTGCACGTCGCCAGTACTCGATGTCAACTTCTGTTCAGTAGTACGTTCTCGAGGCTAGTGTAGTTCCTACGGTGCCCCGCACGGCTGCGCGAGCACGTGGCTTCGTTTTGCGTCTCATTCGTACGCGCTCTCGTGCGAACGAGACGCCAAGCGAAGCCACAGACGCTCGCGCAAGTAGCTTTCACAGCGTTGGAGCTCTATGGAAGCCACGCTAGGAAAGGCATTAAATGGTTCCGATTATCGCGGTGGGCTGGCCGGATATGAATGACTTTATAGCACATTTTATTCCATTAGAGTTCTTTTGGGCGGCCACGAAAATAAACGGGAAACAAAGCTGACACGACTGTAGCGTCTGCCACTGTATACGAAAGGTCAGCTGGTGACACCGGCTGGCCAGTCTGGCGTAGACGTGACACTATACTGACGAAACTTGCGGGTTCCGCGCAAGTTCAATTTCCTCGTTGCGGTTCAAATTTTCTTTCATGCTTGTCTGTACTTCGTACAACCGTTGAATAAACACAAAATACACGAAGTTTTGAGCTGCGACGGATCGTTCGATGACTAATTTAGATCAAGGCAAAGTCCACATACTCAATAAAAAAAAAATTAAAACGAGTTGAACGTTTATTACATATTGATTCAATAAAATTTAAGGTAATCGGTCTTGATTCTACGAGTGAACGAATAAGCGGACGACAAAGCCGAGCTTCCCCAAACTTCGCTCCGAACCCGACAGCTCCTCCTGTGAGCCTACCTGTCAGGTATCACACGCGCGTTATGCGGGAAAGTGCCATTGCCGTTTCGCTAAAACAGGTAAGTTGAGCAACGTATGAACTGCGCGCTTCGATCTTGACTATGGTAACTACTACTTTTGACCTGCAATAGACTACCCGAGTGTACTCTACTACGGTCAATAGGGGCAGAGAGGCTGCGCACACCTTAGAATAATTTTCTTAGATGTTGTTTTGTATGGTTTTGAAATGGAGCTTAATTCTATCTAGGAATTAGATTGCTTGTTGTAGTTTCCCTGGGCGATCTTGAACTTATTATAAAATTCAACATCGCTTTAATTTGGGTGAGTCTTTTAGTTTTTTTTTTTTACCATTTGGATAGAAGTTAATGCTACAACGTATTCACCCGTATAGCGTAAAAAAATAGTGATTGTTGTCAGCGTGACATTGCAGCCGACTCACGAAATGAAAATAGCTTGGCGATCGACCGACATGTAGGAATAACGAAATGTATTTTAACAAAAATGTAAAAAAAAAAAAAAAAAGTGCACACGCTCATTGTAATTTAGCGGATGGAGAGGATATGGTGTCTTGAAGAATGTGGTGATTTCTTAGCCGTAGCCTTAATGGTTAGTAGTTCAGCAAATTCCACCGGGAATAGTTCGCAAGATTCTTGGGAACGATTCCTGCGGGACACGTCTCGTGTTATGCGTTATTCATATCGTGTGATTTTGCGTGCGATTTCGTAGTTGCGACGTCACTTGTGCGGGGGAAAAATCGCAGAGGAAGTGGCGGTACTTAAGGACGCAGCCGCGAAATCGCCAGCAGAATCGCACCGCATGAATCAGGCTTTACTCTTTGCCACGAAAAGAAGGAAGCGCCGGCGCGGCTCACCTCTCGGCGGGACTGGCCGCTGAGGCTGGTCGGTGTCTTCGTGGTCGACGCTTGAGTTGTATCGTTTGTTGGTGATGAGGAATGCACGCGGCATGATCCCTTCCGGACGTCGCGACGAGGGCCTCACGAAGACGTCACGACGGGTGCGTAGTGGTCCAGGTGGGGAATCGTCGTCGTCGTCGTCTTTGTCGTTGTCGCTCTGCACCGGTTTCGGCCAGGGTCGAGTCTCCTAGACGCGGTCTGGCGCCGTCTGCAACGCGGAGAGAAGTGACGTTTCGGAAGGTTCAGATCCTCCGTCGGAGGCCCCTCCCCCTCCTTATTCTAGCGGGGGGAGGAGGAGGAGCCAGTGGTGAAGAAGAGAAGCGAGCGTACGGATCGTAAAAGCTCGGAAAGGAGAATGTGGAGGAGGGAGAGGTACCGTACGGGAGGAAGGGAGATCGTGTGGTCTATCCACTAGGTTGGTGCTCTTTGTTTTTTTGGGATGTTTTCATTTTTGTGAGTGTGCGTGGCGTTTGTGGGGGTCTTTCTTGTGAAAGCCTTTGAGAGGTTTTAGAGGAGCTCCTGCATTCATTTTAAATTGTCATATAGACGGACATTTTCTCGGTTCCTGAAAGTACAGATTGAAAAATGTGCGCCTGTATTAGACCGTAGTCACAAAAAAACACAAAACAAAAAAAAAAGTTTTTTTTTCTTTTTTTTTTTTTTTTTGGCGGGGATGGGAAGCAAACCTACGGTTTTTTTATGTTCGCACGTTCCGAGCCGAAAAGAGTCGTTTCGCGCACTTTGAAGGCGGCGACTGACGCAGTGTGAGGTGTAAATGTGGACGGGCGAGGAAGCTAGCCGGTTTGCCTCGAAAATTGCGTCGCCTGGCTGGAGCGAGCTTCGGCTGATACATGAGAAAGACGGTGTGATGACTACGACTGGTTTATATGTCGTGAGCATATGCAGAGAAACATGCAGGAGCATACCCCAAAATAGTCTCCAAGTTCGCTGTCCCTGCGCACATCGCATTTTTTCAAATTTAAATCGTATTCTGAGATTCGTCATTCGCTCTGATCCTTCTATCTTTCGCCATGGTTGGTTGTCTCCGTGTTCTGCGAAAAAATAAAACGCACATGCCTTTTTTTATTATATAAAGAGTCTACGCAGTAATGTTGCCCTTTATCTTCGTTTATTGGCTCCACACCAACCGCCATTCGCCGCATACAGAATCGGCGCCGGACGAAGTCAGCTTGGCACGTCGAAATACGCAGACGCCAAACACCGAAGTCGCGAAACAAGTGTCTCCGTAGGCCTCCGCCTGGGTCTAACTTTTAGACCGGCTCACGTGTCGCACAGTGTGCGTATTTTTTTTTTTTTGCGCCAATGTTTAATCACTATGTTTTTTTTTTGTTTCTTTATTATTGCTAGTTTTTTTTTTACTACTAAGTATTCCCTAAGAGAAAGAGAAGTTAGTGTGTGAGGGGAGGGGGGGTGGGGGAGGGAAGAGAGGGAGAGCGACTTTCAGTGTCATTTATATATATATATTTGTTTTTGTTTCTTCCTCGCCATGTGTGCCCGTGCTAATGCGTTTTTCACACACGTGTTTCACTATTCTTTGTTTATTTATTATTTTTCTTGCTTTGCGGCGTTTTTGTTTCGTGGGCGCAAGCGCTCTAATCGGCGGTGAAAGGCGAAACTCTCCCGCTTTTGGGGGAAGCGACCGCCAGGGGGGTGTAGTGTTTTTGGACCTGAGCGTCGTTCTCTTTTTTTTTTTCCTCGCCACAGGAGGTCTTTTTGTTATGGAGTCGTTGCCTAAAATCCTTTGTGACCAAATTAACGTAAATTGTCATTTTGGTTTTCTTAAAAAAAAAAAAGAAAACTTTGTTTACGATACAGAGATTATTATCTCTGTATCGTAAACAAAGTTTTTGGTTTTTGTTTCTTCATTTATGACGCAGAAACACTACGGTGCTGCTGCGTCATAATTTTAAACACGTGAAAGTAAGACATAATTGGATAAACGGACTCTAAATTTTCTCCAAATTGACAGGATTTCATATTCGGCGTGTTTTAAAAGTTTTCCCGCCAAACGAAAGAAAGGTGTAACCATTTAGACACCTCTGGCTTCATCGTAATAATCATTTGCTGTTTAAACCTACAAAAAAAAATTGGGTAGTGTATGTCTTTATACAGCCTAGACCTTGGTCTGCCTCAACGGGCGACGAGTTTCCCAGCTGTAGATGAGAAATTTAGCCAGTGCGGTACAGCCGCTAGCCTGGGGTCTTTAACGTGCATCACGCAGTAGTGATACACGACCGCACGCCGGTACGATGCTCATCCAGATCGAAACGGCCATCCCAGGATCCAGGGTTCTGCAGCGCGAGCTTTCGCTCCACGTGCTCCGAGCTGGTGTGCGCTTGCCCACTCTGCATGCTTGGGTAGTAATTCAGTTACAGTAATTGAATTACTGTAATTTAAATAATTTTCTTTGTGATTTGTAATCGTAATTAAGTACTTTTGGCCAAAATAAATTGTAATTTAATTACTTTATAGCGTTAGTAATTGAAAAATTTAAGGCACAATTACAATCACTTTTGCAATACCTTGCTTCGCCGACGGAACCTCTCTGAAAGCCTCAGCGCTCGCACAAGCGGCCTAGCTCTCGGTGAAACACTCGCACAGAGACACGCCCTCACACACACGCACAACATAAATAGCGTCGCATTGTTTGTTGTTTTGTTCCTTACACTGCGGACTGAGAGACAATCCTCTTTGGAGCCTACCTCAACGGTGCCGTGTTGCGCCGTCTGCTGTGCGAGCAGAAAACAAGAGCGTAAACATGACAAAATATTGAAGGAAAAAAATTGAGCTTCAGCTTTCAGTTGAGCTAAAAAAATTTAATTGTCTATGAAGTCCCCCCCCCCCCCCGCATTTTTTAGTTCTTTTTTTTTTAGTACTGTTGCATATTTGTATCTTTGTATTATTTTCAAGCTCATTTCCTGTCGGTTTCACTTTGTATATTTTTTGCTTAAGCATTTTGGAGACTGACCTCCCACCTGTGAATATTGTTACCAATCATTCGGGAGCCCCGATTAGGTTCTTATATATTTCTGAGGCATTATAATTTCAACTCAATGTAAATAATTTACAATACCATGATGTTTGTATGTGAATGCGGTCGTATTAGCGCGTGTAGATTTTAGTTTTATATTAACACGTGTAAAATATTCCCATATGACTAATTGTCGCATTTTTAGTTACTGGGCTAACAAAACTTTATCAAACCAATTTTTTCTTTAGCGATCTGGCGTCTTCCAGCATATGAACTAATTTATTATTATTTTATAAGAACTTAGTACTTCATTGCCTCAAACTGTCAAGTTCCATCATGAATTTAACAAAAATCATAAAAGGAAAGTGTAATAGGTGGCATTTATGCAGCGATGCTTAAGCCTCCTCAAGCATTGGGGCAAGGAATGATTAGCGATCTGGCGTCTTCTAGCATATGAACTAATTTATCATTATTTATAACAAAAAAATTAAGAACCTAGTACTTCATTGCCTCAAACTGTCAAGTTCCATCATGAATTTAATAAAATTCATGAAAGGAAAGTACAATAGGTGGCATTTATGCAGCGATGCTTAAGCTTCCTCAAACATTGGGGCAAGGAATGACCAAATACATTACACTCTATACAACTCCTTTAATGTTATATGGCCCAAGTCGGGTCACTCTCAGAAATAAGTAATGGCAAAGTAGTTGCATTACTTTTTAAAAGTGATTTGTGATTGTAATTAATTACTTTCTACGTAGTAATAACTGTAATTGGAGCTAAACTATTTTTGAAGCAAAGTAATTTTAATTTTAATTAAATTACATTTCGAAAGTAATTTAGCCACGTATGCCACTCGGCCACCGATCCCCCAACCTACCTCAACATTTCTGAAAGTGTGCATTTCCGTGAATATTACAAACGTATGTGCAGGATATTCGTTCGGCATTTTGCACCAAGCGAAAATCGGACGACGAAAATCCGAACACAAATATATTTTCGACGTTCTTTTTAAACACAACCAAGGTATTTACAGCACATACGAAGTTCGATCAAACAGTTCAGAGACTTATTTTGCAGCACGGAGATGCGCGCTCAGCATTCGAAGGCAGGAACTTTTGTGTCACATTATGCCAAAAGGGCGGTGTTATGTGGAAATTTGGTGCTGCGCTACACGAGTTTTTGTAACCACGTGCACAAGCACCAATCTGGATTTCACCCTAAACTGCAAACCAGAGCGACAGCGTACATCAGTTCTGCGTCAAACGCCATAAATTTATAAGATTGACCTTTGAAATGATTCTGGAGGCTTATGTGAAAAATCAGTGAATTTTCGACATAAACGGAACAGCGCTCAAAGGCGAAGAGAGGCAGGGCCACGACGTGGGCAGGGCGACCTTCTCCGACCTCTATTCGTCTTCCAGCAATGTTCTGCCATTCTTCTTGAAGCGCGAGTGCCACTCAAAGCACTTCGTAAAAATTACTGCTTTTTGAAATAAGCCTGCTAAATTATTTCAAAGGTTTCGGTTTTAGATTTGCCGAGCTTAACGCAGAATTGCTGTTTGATCTCGCTCTGGTTTGCAGTCACGGTAAGAGCGCCATTGCGCTTGTGCACGTGGGCACAAAAACTCGTGTAGCGCAGTTATAGACGCTTTACACACGCGCCAAGTTACAGCCGCCATTGCTGACCTTCTCTTGTCTTTCCCAGATGTCGAGCCACTAAAGCGGTCGTTGACAAGCCTCCAGAAAGGCCAATGCTGTGGAGGAGAACAATGTAGAAACTAAAATGGCAATAACTTGCCCCGCCATGGTAACGATGAAGTGAAGTAAATGTAATAAGAGGAAACAAGAACTGAAGGTCGGTTATGGCGGCGCCCATGCACAGCTGTTGCAAAGCGTCCATCAATGTTCACAGAACGAAGCCATTTGACAGAATTATATAGGAAGGTCACTGGCTTCGACTGCTGCGCGCGCTTAGCCGTGCTGTCCTCTCTTTTTACGCTCCAATATCAGTTTCGAAAATTTTTGATCGCACCTCGTAGACCGCAAACATGATTTTGCTAAAAGCATATTTGCGATTTCTGTATACTACATACTTGATTCTTCTTTTAGTAATATAGTGCAGAACTATCGTCTCATAATCTGAATTCCGTGCGATTTTAGGCTTTTCGCATATATGTTCCAGTGTTTAATCGCATCTTAAATGAACAGTTTCTAGGGAGCGATTATCTGTT